ATTTTCTTCTTAAGTTAGAAAAACCCTTCAGTCACCCTCACACACATCCCTTCTCCTAAACCCTCTGCAAAACTTCCTCTCCAATGGCGAAACACTCCAAAACTCCCTCTGCTTCTACTCGAAAAAGCACCCGCTCAAAGGCAAAACCCTCTTCCGCTCCGCCTGAGCAAGTAGACCTAGGGTCCGATCACTCAGAAGGCTTCGCCTCATCCCAAGCTGATCTCTCTGAACCCTCACAACTTCTAGGAGAAAAAGCCCTAGGTAAACGACCCATGGAAGATCCTCCCATCTCATCCACTCCAAAGAAATCAAAGATTGATTTCTCAGCCTCACATGATTCTGACCTAAACTTCTGGGACACCCCAAATAGGGATCTTTTTATTTCTCTCAAGGATAAGCCTAACGCCCATGGAAGAGTCGTGGATCTTGATGATATGGAAGCTCTCAACTATAAGGTAAAAGATCTTCTCGTCTATCAAGGTTGGGAAAAATTTCTCTCTGTTCCTCCGCCTAAAGTTTATGAGCCCTTAGTCCGAATGTTTTATGCCAATCTCCGCTCTAGTAAGTCAGATAGGCTAGAATCTCTAGTGCTAGGTAAACGCATCGTTCTTGATTGTGCTTTGTTTGATTCACTCTTTCAATGTCACTGCTCTGGTTTCCCCACTCTGTTTAAAAATATATGGCCTGAAAATTTTGAAATCTCTTTTGACCAAGCCAAACAGTGCATTGTTGAAAATCTCTCTGAAGCCCTTTCAAATCAATTAGGGCCTAGTGATGTAAGTTTTGAGACCCGAGTTCTGGCCCATATTGTGGCAACCTCGCTGCTTCCCCGCACTGGCTCGTTCTCCACTTTCTCTCAAAGGGATACCTTTTTTGTCTATTGTCTTATTACCAAACTCAAACTCAAGCTTTCCTCCTGGGTCATAAACTTCATGATAGAGAGTGCCGAAGATCCCACTAGTTTACCCTATGGTATGGCAATCACCCACATTCTTGAAGCCCACCAAATCTCCTTATCTGATTACCCATTCATCTCTGTCTCTAAATGCTACAATTCAAGAGCCTTTGCCAGCATGGGGTATGTGAGTGTTAAGGGCTCATGGGTTAAGAAGTGTGAGAGTGAAGCCAAGCAGACTCTTGTAGAAGCCAAAACTCCCTCAGTCGTTCCTCCTCCTCTTGCCAGCTGTGAGCTGAGTGAAAAACTCAATTCCATTGACTCCAAACTCTCTGACATCAAGAATCTTCTTTCAGCTACTCAGTCCACTGTGGGTGACATTCATTCCATCTCAAAGGAAACTGGGTCTGACGCGTCCAAAATCAGAGTTGTTGTTCTTAGAGTCAGGGAAAATGCGGTCAAAGCTTTCAAGGAGGTTCACGACAGGCTGGATGGCATAAGCATCTCTGCAAATACAAGCTTCGACCAAATGAAGGAGGCCATCTGCAACACTCTTACCTATTTCCTGCGTCGCTAGTGTGGATGTGTTTGAAAAACAATGTCTGTTATTGATACTTGTTCTGCTGGTTGTGTGGGCTGTGCCCCTAGATAATTTTTTTTTCTTTCCTTTTGCTTGGTTTGGTGGTGTGTACTGTTTCATCAGCCACTGGATGATTTTATTTTTGCTAACTGTGCCTATAATCCCTCTTTGCTGATGTCAAAAAGGGGGAGAAATTATCTGTTACTGTGTGCTTGTTCTGTTTTTGGTCTCTGGTATTATGTGGTTACAGGTACAGGTGCAAGTCGACTATGTGTTATGGTATTATGTGAACAGGTACAGGTACAAGTCGACTATGTGTGGAACATGACCACACATGTCTTATATATGTATAGGTAGTGCCCTATATGAATGTTGTACAGGTACAAGTCTACTGCTTCTATTGAGGGGGAGATTCCAAGCCAAGACTGCACATATTGAGGGGGAGATTCATGGACAAGCCAAGTCGACTGCATACATTCAGGGGGAGTCAAGTCGACTAATAAAATACAGGGAAGTCAACTGATGTTTACTTCTTTACACAGTATATTATTTTTCCATCATCAAAAAGGGGGAGATTGTTAAATCATGTTTTAATGATGCAATTAATATACATGTGCAGGAACTCAAAGAAGTAAAGGAGAACTACCGAGATAGCTCATGATGAATAAAGGAAGAATTATATCTTGAAGATCTGCAAGGAAGGAAATAAATCTTCAGCAGCAAATCAGGATTAAATCCTCCTCAAATCAGCAGCAGCATGATTCACGGAATTAAACTAATCAAGGCAGAAGATCAGGGATTAGCGGAGTAAAATAACCAAGCATCACGGAAGAAGATCTGGGAAGCAAGCGTGATTGGAAGATCCAATAATCAAGGAATATCTCGCATTGCAAAGGAAAGAAGATCAAGTGGAGCCAACGGCTCACTCCTTATTCTTGGAAAGGATTAACTCTTTCCAAGGATCAAATCCTTGGGTTGCTACCATCCATTATAGTATAAATACTCCCTTGTAAACCCTAGTCAGGATATACATTGATCAAACCAAAATACTCTCCTCATTCTACTGCAAACAAGCATAGTAGTTTACTTAAACCTGTTGTGTAACAAGTCAGGGATAGAAAAGAGGGTACATCACCGGTGAGGCATTGTATCAAACGAGTGCTAGAAGAACTGAGCGATATTCATCATCTCTGTACTCGAAAGAACTCATTTACTAGAAGAGAACTCCCTTGCAACCCAAGGGGACTGGATTATGATTCACTTTGAATCCGAACCAGTATAAAATCCTGGTGTCTTTAATTCCTGCAATTTACTTCCTGCGATTTTATTTAAGATATCATACCTGCTGAATTATCATATACAGTCGACTACTTTAGTTAAAAGTCAACTTATAGGCAATAAATTTTAAATAAATTATAATTCACCCCCCTCTTGTACTTTCATTATCCACATATCTTCTCCATATGCTAGATTTAGAATGTATACATGTCTACATATCTTATCTATCTGTTGTTTGGTTCTATTAGCGAGAGCACGGTACATCTCTTCTATATATGTCTACATGTGCACACGAGACTTGATCATATATATGCATATCCTCTTTATGTGCTAGGTTGTTAACTGATACAGGACTCGCACATTATCTTTTTGTGCACCGAGGTGATTTTATCTGTGCTATATGATTAGATTATACTATTGTTGTGTACTTGTGAAATTCATGAACTGAATGGGTTATTAGCGAGTATCATTGATAATTCTTGTCACTATTACTTCATCGGGGTTAGTTATAATACTTGCTGAGTACATGGAGTCAGTTATACTCATAATACACTCTACACTTAATTGTTGAGATCTAGGTATTAGACCCAGGCGAGGGCCGTTGTGATTTGCTATGAGTTGCTAAGAGACGATGTAGAGATGCAATCTGACCGCAGTCTTTGACGTTTCTTTCCATTTCAGTTGTTGTTGTTACCATTCAGACAATGTTTTCATTCCGTATTTTCAGACTTATGCTTCAATTGTAGAGCTCATGACTTTGTATTACCAGTTCTGGGATTTTATGTATTGAGGCAATTTATTTATGACATTTGTATTTAGACTTGAATTAATTCCATTAATATTAATATCTTGTTGCGCTATTGTTATGTTTGGCTTGCCTAGCAAGTGAATTAGGCGCCCTCACAACCGGATGGTAATTTGGGGTCATGACAAAATCTTGGAGAATATATTCGGCCTATTTCACGCCTATATAAGCATCATGTTGTTGCTATTGCCTTGGATATTTTTACATAGGCACACAACAAATCACTCTCGGCAAATAACAATCACAATAAGAAGGTACTTTCAAGGATTCAAGTTATTCAACTAAAGAACCTGGTTAGAAGACGAAGATGTTTAGTTCTTTAGTTGGTTAAGTCTTGAGTCGTTGGTCTTTAAGTGTAACCTACTCTGCCTTTGAGAAGTGTATTGATACAAACAAATAAAAAAAATTGGCGGATGCATTTTGAAGTTCTAAGCTAGAGTTTATAGTCCACAAGGATTAGCTATAATTGCGTTGATTGTAGGAGTTAAGGTATTAGAGTTTATAGTCCCTTTAATTATTAAGTTGTAACCTAAAATCGCTCTTGTTGTTTAGTGATGTTTGAGAAAACCCTACTCGTGTAGGTCGTAATTTTACTCCCTTGAGCGAGAGCTTTTCACGTAAACTTATTTGTATCTTTAAGTTTCTGCACTTTACTTCGTGTTGATACTGAAATCTTTAAGTTAAAGAACCAAATTCTTTAACACGCGAAAATCGAGCAAGGCACGAGTCACCTTCCCCTCTAATGTGTAGATGCACGCTAGATTAACATAAAGAAGGGTTGAAGGCCTAACACCTGAGGGATAAGACGGTAGAAGAATATTTTCATAACATACTTCCTTTTAAGTCCTAGTCCTGCTGCTCTGACATGCCTACACTTTCACACTATTTTGAAGGGGGCAACCTCCAGTTTACATCCGAACAGGATTACCAGCGTAAGCATCTACCACAAAAACTATTCTGCTTTACAGGTCATATTCACAACTCTCACATTTAACAATGATTCTGGATCAGATGAAAAAAACAACAAACTAAAACACTATGTCAGTGTTCTCTAAGTTTTATTTTTTAATTTGCAGAACATTGTCTATTATTTTCTTAAATGGTTTGGCTATCTCTCAAACCAGGTAACATTACTAAGCATCTGCTATAGTCTCAGCATCTCCACCTCAAAGAGATTATGCTCTTACTTACAAAATTATTTTGCCTTCAGAATTAAAAAGAAGGATTTTTTTGAATAAATAAATAAATAAAGAGAATATCCCTCCCCGAAGTGAATAAACTATTGTAGAATATCCCTGTGTTCAGTCGCACTAGTTACTGTCATTGCAAGAGAAACTACAAAAAAGGAATTTCGTTTATAAACAGCAATCATCCCTTTGGGACATCCAATAAAATCGGATCATACTGAGAAGAATAACATGACCGCTATGCAAGGATGATGATAGGCACACAATTCACTTGCAACATTCTATTAAAACGAGTGGAGAAGGCTAGATAGTGCATTTACATCATAAAGGAAGTTCTATAAGTTATACATGGAATACACCGGCGGATCTAGAGCATAATCTATGGGTTCATCGAATCCCAGTAACTTTTGCTTAGAGCCTTAGACTCTGTATATGTATCAAGAAATCACCTAAATATCTAAAAATATTTGATTGTAAACACAATTATTATTATATAGTAACTGCCATGCCATAGGAACCCATAAACTTCAAGTCTTGGATTGGATTTGTTTCCGCTGTCATATCCAAGCTCCACTCTTTCCACTACTTTCGGGAGTTAGTACACCACGTATGGGAAAAGACCTTATGGCATGGGCGCAATAGCGACATTGCACATTGACTTTGACACGGAGGATCATGAAATTGCCATTCTCGATGGGACATGAACAGTTGACTTAATATGCATATCAGCTTAAAACTTGGGAAGGAAAAATAAACTATAGTTTATACAGTTTATAAAACCATTGCTCCATCTCGAGAATTATGAGTATTTATACTCACAACAGCTAACCTCAGGCACTCAGTGACATGGAAATGACAGAGGACAACTTATATTTGGGTGGTTCAGTTGAACCTTGGGTTTGAAATTTCACTTCTGTGCTGGATCGAACAGTGACTTCCTTCCATTCAGAAGCTGATACTCCTTCCCCCCGATAAACTCGGGGGCAGTATAGAACTTTGAGCTTTGAATGAGCTGCATCTCGCAAAGCAACAATCCTTTATTTAGAATTTCAGCTAAGTATAAGATCGATTTGCCATGCAGAACATGTCTAACCAACATAATGAAGATGCAGAACATGTCTAACCAACATAATGAAGGTATTATAAGGAATCCTTCAACTGAATCAGGCCAGCAGAATTTCCTTACTACAAAGTATTTTAGTTTCCTTACCCAAACCAAACATGCTCGTTTTCTGGATCTCTAATCTACTAACTTTTGATCTCCTGATACTTCTCATTTCCAGAACATCTTCTCTGTTTCCTTTGAACTCCAGAAACTCTCCAAGGAGACATTTATTACCTTTAAGCTCTAATCTGCATATATTCAGAAGAATTTTAGTAAACCTTGAACGAAAAGGTTAAACTTGACTGAGAGTATACCGAGTTCAAATTCCATTTAACAGAATATGAGGAAAATTATTTCCACGTCAAGCTGCTATGCTTCCGATGACTGACTTTCATTTCTTTGAAGTTCACATTCCACCTCTCTCAATCACACGGAAGACATATCTGGGGTGTTTTTTTCAAAAGAAAGCTGATATTTTCAACCTTACTAGTAATGCTACCAAATGCTTACTGCATCTGTCACCAAAATCCAAATAATGGGTTTCATCACTAGATCCTATGACCATGTGGATTAAACAGCCAGCTTCCTCTAGATAGATGCTATTCTTCAATATCTGGCCAGTTTATCACAATGCAAATAATTTAATTACAGAAACAATTGAAATTATTACTTCTGGACAAACAGTTGGACCAACTGTTTCCCTCCAATTCCTGAAAACACCATCGAATTTAGACATGAAAACAAACAAAAATATACGCAAGACAACAGACCTATCCGATGTCGGAGCTGTATTAAGAACAAAGTTAAGCTTCTCATTTATTGATTCCTGCATTTCCTTCTTCCCACTATGAAATGCACCTTTAATCCAACCAGAAAGCATGTTTTTATATTCTGGTTTTAGTTGCATCCACTGGTCATATGTTATGACCTCTGGCGGAAAAGAGGCCGAGTTAATGGCACTGCAAAGGCAGAAACAGGCTTTAGACCAGTCCATGCAAAGCAACTTTAATAATCACAAGACAAACAAAATGTGACACTTGAACGACAACAATGGTTTATGAAAGAAAACCCGATGGGACTCCACTTAAGTACATTTTTTTGCTTCCGTTATAACACATTGACTTATACCATAGAAGCAGTTAACATAAACTGACAAACCGGGCTCTGGTATTATTAAAGCCAGAGAGCCTACATCGTTCTTGGTTAATTTTGCATGAAATAAAAGTCAAAAGGCTGTAAAGAAGCAACTCAATTTCTTTAATTCATGGTAAATTGACTGGTTGATCACTGAGGAACTCCAACCAGTGAAATTATGTAAAGCCTACGTGGAAAGGATGGTGAAACGTAAAAATCAAGCGCTGAACCTTTGAAACGGTCCATGACAACGGAGGAACACATGTCAAATAAGTTAAAGACTTAGATGCTTAATTAGGAGTTTGGATGGGTCTTTTATGTCTTAAGCATCAAGGAACAACCCATTTAACCAAGCTATGTGTAAGCTACATTAAGTTCAAACTATGGCTTTAGGATTCAAAACTATGAAGAGAAACAATACAGCAAGCTCTGAAACAACTGCTGCTGGAGATAACTAGCTTATATATATCTTCTGATTAGTGTGACGAAGTCTTCCCTTCAACACTATGCTTCTCGATGATACTGGATCAGGAACAAAGGTATTTTTATTTGGGACTAGTACAATCATTGAGCCGGCATTAAGGTCACACCTGTTGTCTGTTGACCAACTCTAAGTCTAGAAGAAGTAACTTGAGAAAGTAGTGTGCAAATAGTACTTTAATTTCAATATTTAATAAAATGCTTGCCTGAAATTGGGGTCTGAACATATAACTTTAGAAGACAAGTATCCTTCAGGAAGAGCAACCCCTCTTTGTTCGAGATAAGATTCAAGAATGGGAACTAATCGTGCTGCCTCTGCTACCTGAAATATAGAAACTTAAATCATGCGATGGAATTAAGAAAAGCAAAATTCCACATTCAGTCCTTTCCAAAGTTAAGGAACCATATGATCAAAACTTAATTACTCAATGAGAAGATATTGTCGACCACAGCATGCACCACAACAGAAATGATGCAAGAATGAAAAGAAGAAAGCAAAAGAGGGTATTTGAATTAAATTGTATCCCCACCAATTATCCTAGAAGCGGCAATTCAATGCAGAACATAATAAAATCTCACTATAAAACGTTGCGAGGACAAGGGGTTATAACTACCATTGCATAAAGATGAGCTTACTCTCCACACAATCAAACAGCCAGCAGCAAATGCCAACTGTTAATCTCCTGGTTGCATCTCCTCTCAGAGAGAGCCTTAAGGGATATGCTTCATCATATGAACAGCAGTGCCATAAAGCTGTGCCTCCAAGAAGATACTTTCATTGCCACACTGTTCAAGCCCATTCATTGTATAAGGGATGACACTGACACTCCTACTTGGTTCTTCAGAGAAACTAATATGGAAAACTCATATAGTGAGTTTAATATTATTAATCGAGCTTAAGCTAGCATGCCCTCCGAGTTGTTTTCTCTCTGTAAGCATTACCATCCAAAGCATAATGCTGGACTCTACGGAGCAAACTGCATTTCTTTTGCTACTTGATTTAGCTATAGGAAGTATTTCATAAAAGTGTTGGGGAATTATTCAGATTTCACAAATTGGCTTTCAGAAATTGTTCATGCCAACTCCAGCATTAGTTGGGGTAGAAATAATCAATACTATCAACATCCAATCGCAGAAACAACAAAATAACTCTGCAGTTTGGTCCAAGAAGATATTTTGTAACAACAGAGCGGTTTCATGAGAGGGGATATAACTGGTAGAGTGTTTTTAAGGGACAACTAACTTCAGCGAGAGAATGTTAGTAGTAAACATAAGCAAGGAAACTTATCTCTTCAGAGAGTGTTTGATATTCAATTTGAAATTCTACATATAGAAAATCATGGGATTTATCTCACCACTGCTTTCCGTTAAAGTCTTTTTATGAAACCGAATATAAACAGCAAAAGAGATATAATTTCTTCTTGGCACAATCATGACGAACAAATTCTAGACAGCTTATTTGCATAGCCATGAAGACTACAAGGAGACAATAATAGCATGTAGAACTAAAGAGAATTACTCGTGTACAGGCATTAAGAAATTTTACGTTTAGAAATTCGCACAATATACAAACTTTACACGCGATACTTGACCTAATGAGTAGCAGTGCAAGTGTAGAAGCATAAATTTCACTAAACTTGTCGCACTAAGGCAACGATTCGATGGACCTACCAAATCTTTCAAACATAAACTAGTTTGAATCCCTAACATCAAACAAATAATAAAACAAAGATTTTCAGCTCACAGGATCTGAGATATGCTGGGTCTTGTGTTTATGCCCTCCAGCGCAAACCCATCTCCCATCCTTATCAACGGCCACAAATCCCGAGACATTCTTTACACAGATTACTACTGCTTCCCTGCAGAACGAAAAAGCTTATATTATCCCCAGGTTTTCCTTCAGGCTAATGAAGAGAAATAGAACTCTTTAATAACAGAGAGTGTTATCCTTGAGGTACCTTCTTGTATAAAATGAGCTTGAACAGACACAACACAAGTAAAAGAATATCGAAAACCAGAAAAGAGAAATCAACTTTAGTGTGTAAAAATCCTACTCAAACACAAAGAATTAAGATTATAGCAATAACCAAGGAACTATTTAAAGATATACTAAACATTCGGGTTTGATGTATTTAGATATACATACCGCTGTGTGACGAGAACTATATCAATACTTTGCCGAGAACCAGAATCAGCGTCAGGAATTTGAAGCCCAACATAAACCTTACCACCATAAATCTTCTCAAGTCTAGTTTCACACAAAAAGGAAATGAGAATTATCATCAAATCACCAATCAGTGGAAAAGACCACAAAAAGAAACCAAATAACCTCTCTGTTCCAGACACTATTTTTAAATTAATCGTTCCAAAAAGAAACTAACTTTTTATATTTGAAAATAATTTAGCCTTAAATTTCTGATTTGGAGTAAGTTCAAAAATGATAGTATGACCACCTATAGGCTATAGCAGGTAAAGGGTGGATTAACTCAGAACCACATACTGACCCGACCCGACCCGACCCGAAAACGTATAATTATCTTAAAGCTAGTGTGATATACCTTTGTGCAACGGAAAAGAGGGCATTGAAATCAGAGGTTTCGGTGTCGAGAAGGTCGTCGTCGTAAAAGAAGCGCTTAACCACTCTGTAAACGACTAGACCACAAATCAGCTGCACCCACATCCCGATTTCCTCACCGTCAGTCGCTGTTGCCGATTATGATTAATTGACTATGATAATTCCAGTATTAATTTAGGTGCACTACAAGTATTGATATGGAGCTGGAATATCTGGGTGACAATAGAGAGAGTTTGGGAAATGGGACAATATACTTCCTATGTAAGTTTCCGAAGCTGGACATGGGATCATACAAATTACCCGCTGGATTTAATATTTACTTTTTTAATTGGTATATATATGAATTATATTCGACTACTTGGGTTGATTCTTCTTTGTGATTTTGGATTTCACAAACAGCTTGTTACCTCCATTGTATTGTATTATATTATTATTCCAAAATTATATTTATTTAAAATTAATAATATTGTATTGTTAAATTCATATCTTCACTTTACAAAATAACTGATTTGATGTGATTGTTTTCTATTTTTCTTTTCAATTATACGTTACTTATTACTTCATAATTCTATTTTATCCTTTATTTATTTTTTAATTTTAACTCCAAATCTCCAATATATTGACCTACTTTGTCTTCTTCAATGTTTTCTAGAATTGTTTCGTGTCTTTTCATCTAAATCTCCAAATTTTCTTTCCATCTTTTTATGATTATTATTTTTTGCTAATGATAGTTAATCTTTTCTCAAGTTTCTGCTCTTGTTTCTAAGCTACATAATTGATGATAAATTAGTAAAAAGATTTTTTTTTTAATTATATTTATGCATAATCTTTGATATATGTAATATTTAAAACAATTGACGCTATTTTAGTAAACTTATCAGTTATAATATATTAGATATAATCAAATCAAACAATAAAAATATTATTTAATAATAGCCAACAGTACAATCCATTTGATATACTATATTATAAAATGATAAGTAACAATCATCTAAACAGAGTGTAAAAGATCCGAGGGTCATGTTGGATTTCTTTAAAGAAAAAAAAAAAAAAACCCTACACGTTTCTTAATTACAAAGACAAAACCGAGGACACAACTTTGTTCACGGTTAGCCGACTAAATGGTCAAGAGAACCATAAGGCGGAAGTTAATGGAGAATAAGTTATTGACTTATTATGCTTTTTGGTCCCCGTGAAATTCTATAAACGCATTTGATCTTCAACTAAACAAATTAGATGATTTTGATCCAATCACTAAAAAAGTTTGAAGATAAAACATATGGTTACCTCTACAAAGGGTAATTCATTGGCTCGACTCAAATCCCACCTCCAGAGTCAGGTTGCATTTAGTCTCTAAAACTTATTAAGTCAATCACTTATTAATATTTAAATCAACAAAATATATTATACTCCCTCCGTTTTAATTTATGTGAATCCATTTGACTGAGCACGAAGTTTAAGAAAAGAGAGAAGATTTTTGAATTTGTGGTGTAAAATGAGGCACTTATATTTTGTGTGGCTATAAATCATTGCATAAAGGTAAATTGTTTCCAATTAAGGAAAGGGGTTATTCTTTTTGGCACGGACCAAAAAGAAAATAGATTCACATAAATTGAAACGGAGGGAGTAATAAAGTAGAGTTTAACATAAATTCGAAAATAAAGATAATACAAGTCATAGTGGCTATACTCAAATCATCTCCTAGAACAAGAAAGTACAAAAAAGTCACGAGCTCTAACAGAATAAACAAGAATATCTTAAAATACAATAGTGTTCGGATAATAAAACGACAAAATCAATATAAGGATAGGACTCCAAGGTACCGCGTGGGCAATGCAACTCTACCTTGAATCCTCGCAGTCAAGTAAGCTCTCACAGCCTATGTCTGTTGCCTCCAATACTTGGATCTGCACAAAAATATGCAGAAATGTACTATGGGTCCATCACATACGGTACCCAGCAATTATCAAGACTAACTTCAATGAAGTAGTGATGAGGTTCAAGTCTATGTGATACTCATTAGTCATAATAACATGTGCAGTAAATCAAATACTTACAACAAAAGTATATTAGAAAACAATAGTAATAACCTCATCAGAATAAGTGATAACAATTCAATGCAAGTAAAGACTCAGCTTCAACAACAAGTCATCACAAAGAAAGACACACAAATAGCCCCCTGTGCCCACATTTTTATCACAACAACAATAGCCACATATATCACCCCACCCTGAAAAAATCAAAATAGCTACCCGTATTACTCCACACTAACAATATTACAATAGCCACATGTGTTGTTCCGCCCTGAAAATATTACAATAGCCACCTATTTCGCTTCGCCTTGACAATATCATAATAGCCACCTATATCGCTCTACCCTGACAATATCACATTAGCTACCTGTATCGCTCCCCCCTGACAGTATCATAATAGCCATCTGTATCGCTCCGCCCTGACAATTTTACAATAGCCACTTGTATCGCTACACCCAATATACCCACATGTGCCACTAAATCACAAGAATAATAATGCCAAAGTTTCATCAGGGATATGATTTCATAATTTGTCAACAAGGTGCACAAGGACATAAAAATGATAAAATACATATGGATATTTGACAAATAAAGTATTACCATGGCTAAAACATGTGTAATGATCATATTCTCATAGCCGCAAAGTAATGGAGTATATTTCATATATAGTACATCCCAAAATTAAGGCATATTAATAGCCTAAGGTCTAATCCGGTCATAATCCACAAATAATACCCGCGTACACACTCGTCACTTCGTGTGCACATCGTTATTCATATAACACAAATAAGCAATTAAGGCCAAATCCCAAGATACTTACCTCAAATAAGCCAAATCAATACTCTAAAAAGCCATTGCCTCTCGAATCGACATCCGAACTGGTCAAATCTAGCAAAAGATAACTCAAAAATATCAAACACAGCTTTAGAAATCAACTCCAATTTATAAATCTTTGATCTTTATCAAAACTTAAGAAGTCGACCATGGCATGCCTCCCGAAACTGGACAAAAGACAAAAAAATCCCGAAAATTCATTTGAATACGAGTACAACCATACAAGTTTCATCCAAATCCGACTTCGAATCGAGGTTTAAATTCCTATTTTTCATTTTAGAAAAGCTTTGCCAAAATCCCTAATTTTCCTCACTTAGATTCTTCAATCAAATGCTAAAATCAAGGATGAAATCATGAATATTAAACAAATCCAAGTCAAGAATACTTACCCCAATCCAAATCCTAAAAATTCCCTAAAAACGCCCAAATTCGAGCCACCAATCTCAAAATATGATAAATAACTCAAACCCTCGAAATAGAATATTTAAGTCTGCCTAGGGGTTCTCTTCACGATTGCGGGACCTACTTCGCAATTGTGAAGCACAATTCATCAGCTGCCTCAAAAAGACCATACACGCACGTGACTGGGATGGGATCGCGATTCATCAATCACTTAAGCCTACGCGAACGTAACTCCATCCTGTGAACGCGAAGCTTTAGCTCCCCAAGGTCCGCGATCGCAACATCCCCACCGCGAACGCGAAGAAGAAAAGACTGCCAGCCACCAAACTCACTTTGCGATCACAATACCACATCTGCTATCGTGATGAACACCAGCACACCAGAAAATCAGCAACCCCAAACATAAGTGAAATGGTCCGAAACTCATCTGAAACATACCCGAGGCACTCAGGATCTCGCCCAATCACACCAGCCAATCCCAAAATATAACATAGACTAACTCAAGGCCTCAAGTCACACAAAATAACATCAAAACCACAAATCGTACCTAAATTCAAACTTAATGAACTAATCAAAATTTTCAAATTTCAAACTTACGGCAAACATGACTTAAACAACTCGAAAAAACCCCAAATTTTACACACAAGTCAATAAATCACCATGCGAACCTATTCCAAAACTCGAAATCTCAGACGAGCATAGATACCCACAAAGACAACTATGGGTCAAACCTATGAACTTCTAAACATTTAAATTGCCAAACTTTCGCCAATAAGAGCTAAAACAACCTAGGAACCTAAGTCCAAAATCACCATCCGATCTGAGTTCAATTACATTAAAGACAAACTTGGTCAACACTTGTAACTTAAGCTTCCAAACTAGGAACTAAGTATTCCAATTCAATCCAAAACCTCCGCAAAACCAAACAAACCATCCCCGTAAGTCACATAACCACAAATAAGCACAAATAACCCATAAAAAAGATAACATAGCTCAAATACACAAAATGACTGACGGGTCTTTACATTCTCACTCTCCTAAACAAACATTAGTCCTCGAACGAGTTTAGAAACATACCTGAAGTACCAAAAAGATAAGGATATCTACTCCAATATCATGCTCAGTCTCTCGAGTCACCTCCTTGACTGATTGACCTCTCCACTAGACCTTCACTGATGCAATATTCTTCGATCTCAACTTTCAAACCTGCCTATCCACAATGACCACGGGCTCCTCAACATAAGTCAAATCGTTATCAGACTGCACCGAGCTGAAATCTACCACATGTGATGGATCCTCATAGTACTTCCGGATCATGAAAATTTGGAACAACAGATGAACTCCCAATAAGTTGGGTGGCGAATCACGTTTGTAGGCTACCTCACCAACTCTCTCTAGAACCTCAAACATATAAATATACCGAGGGTTCAACTTGTCCTTCTTCCTAAACCTCATCACACTCTTTATGGGAGAAACTCTTAGTAGAACCCTCTCACTTACCATGAATGCCATATTACGAACCTTCCTATCGACATAACTCTTTTGTCTAGACTACGCTATATGAAGCCGCTCTTGAATTAATTTCACCTTCTCTAAAGCATCACGAACCAGATTAGTGCCCAACAACCTATCCTCCCCAGACTCAAACTAATCAACCGGAGAACGACATCGTCTCCCATATAAGGCTTCATAAGGAGCCATCTAGATACTCGATTGCTAGTGGTTATTGTAGGCTAATACTACTAACGGTAGAAAATATTCCCATTGTCACGCGAAATTAATAACATAGGTTCGCAATATGTCCTCTGAGATTTGAATAGTACGCTCGGACTACCCGTTTGTCTGGGGATGAAATGTCACACTCAGCACGACTTGTGTTCCCAACTCACGCTGCATGTCTCTCAAAAAAATGCAATGTAAACTGAGTACCTCGATCCTAGATAATAGACACAGGCATACCATGCAGGCGAACCACCTCTTAAAGAAAAATCTGAGCCAACTACTCTGAAGAGTAGGTAGCGATGACTGGACTGAGGTGTGCAGACTTGGTCAATCCATCCACTATGACCCACGCGTCATCAAATCTCCTTAAAGTCCATGGTAGCCCAACCACAAAATTCATAATGATACGCTCCCACTTCCACTCCTAGCCTCTCTATCCCCTCTCTCCTACAAGTAAATACACTCCAACCTCCTAACAATCTCCACAACTTACCAACCCTCGTGCTATCCCGAAATTTGAAGCTATAGACGAGTCCCTCAATAGATCTATAAATTCTCTATCTATCAGTGAAAACCAAGGCAGGTGCATGACTTGATAACTTTGTAAACCTCATAGCATGCTCGGACACAGTCATACTTCCCTGGTGCAACTGCTAGAACTTGTTGCATAACTCGTGCCTACAGGCCTGTGGATAAACTCCCTAAAGAAAGATTAAAGAACTAGGACCAAGAAAGTGGTGTTGCGACAGCTGGCCTACCTATCTCGTAAGTATGCCACAATCTATATGTCGACCCCATCAGCGGAGAAGTAGTAAGGTTGACCCCACCGAACTCCACCAAACCCATTAGATACAGAATGTGGCAACAGTGATCCAAGAAACCATGTACATCCTTGGAAGCCCCGCCACTAAAATGAGGAGGATAATACTTTTGGAACCTCTCTAACCACTTTTACTCCTCACCTAACGCAACTGGATCAACCTCAAGTTGAACAGCAATCACGGGTTGCACCGATATAACACCCGGAGCCTAATTAATATTAGCCCACTACTATGGAGTATGTGTAGCAAGAGTTTATACTCCTAACCTAGCCTATGAAGTAGCTGGTGCAATTGGAATCAACCCTGCATGAGCCAAAGTCTAAAACATGCTTAGAAAGTAAGTCCAGGGGTAGCAACAGACCCTTCAGGTGCCTGCTCCCGAACTGAAGCTACTGGTGGCTCCTCACTCGCGTACCTATCATAGCCCCTAGCTGCAGTGCGTGCTCCACCTCTACCTCTGCCATAGCCTCTACCAACACCGGCCCTAAGGGCAGCATCATCAATAATTGAAGCTCGTGTCCTCACCATCTTTAAGAGAATAAAAATACAAAGGCTCAAAATAAAAAATCAATAAATCCACATGATAAGAAATGGAAGAAGTGAACTTTTCCTAATAGTTCTGTAGCCTCTTGAAGATATCTGTACCGATATGCAAGATTCTACTAAACTTGCTTGTGACTCGTAGAACGTATGAACCTAGAGCTCTAATACCAACTTGCCATGACCCAAATCCCACTTCAGGGGTCGTGGTGGCACCTAGTCTCTAAAACTAGGTAAGTCGATCACTTACCAATGTTTAAATCAACAAAACGTGATATAATAAATTAGTGTTTAACATAAATGCGGAAATAGAGGTAATAGAAGTCATAATGGCTATAATCAAATCTCTCCTAGAGTTAGAGTGTTACGAATTCTAATGGAATACAAAAGAATATCTCAAAGTACAACTGTTTGGATATTAAAATGATAGTATTAGTATAAGGATAGGACTCCAAGGAGCTGCAACGGTCAATGTAGTTGTTACCTTGAATTTTTACAGTCAAGTAAGCTCTCACTGCCTAAGTCTTTTGCCTCCAACACCGGGATCTACACAAAAATATGCAGAAGTGTAGTATAAGTACACTACGGTCGAAACCCAGTAAGTATCAAGACTAACCTCGGTAAAGTAGGGACGAGGCTCAAGTCATGTGATACTCACTAGTCAAGTAACCAGTGCAATAAATCAAAAACTGACAACAAAAGTATAGCAAAAAAATAATAGGAGTAACCTCATGAGAATAAGTGATAACAATTCAATGCAAGTAAAGGCTCAATTGAGAGCGTAAAAAGCCTTTTTGAGGCGCGACTAGCGAAAGGAGACAACTAGCACGAAGATCTCGCGAAGCCATTAATGGCTGCTCCGGCCACTGGCTAGCCTTTTCTTGAGGCTGGACAGTCGTCCCAACCATCCCCCGCAAAATCTACGAGCCTAAAAACAATCCAAAATTATGCTCAATTAGTTAAACCTAATGTATTAAATGCGGCCATGCAAACTCCAACCCATGTAACCCTAAAACTAGTGGAATATCTTCATGGAGAGCCTATCATTAAATGGAAGAAGCAGGAAGTTCGACAATCCATTGCTCAACAAGGAATGCAGTTGGTAGTGTTGGGAAAATTCTCGTATGGTAAGCCTATTCAAGATTTACGTAAATTTATTCCTATACAATGTGAATTAAAGGGTCCTTGCTCTATTGGATTGATTAAGGACAGTCATGTCCTTATTAAGCTTTCATTAATGGAAGATTACGTTCATTTATTATCAAAGACAACATTTTATTTGAAGATACAAGGTGAAATATGGTAGATGCGATGTACAAATTGGAATCCCTGGTGGAAACCTATTGAAGAAACGCTTGTTTCCATAGCCTGGATTTCTTTTCAAGACCTGTCACCTAATTTTTTTGGCAAAAAATTTGTATTCTCATTGGCAAGTGCAATTGAGAGGCCCTTATATGTGGACTTGGCTAATTAGAATGGCACAAGACCAAGCTATGCTAAGGTGAAAGTTGAGGTGAATTTACTATCAAATTTTCCTCAAAGGATCAAAATTGTAGAAGAGGAGAACGAGTCTGGGCCAAAGATTGTAAATGGATCAAGATTAGGTATGATTATATGCCTAAATATTGCAAAAGTTGCCTGAATAAAGGAAGCTGAGTGTGGTCATCAATCCTGAGCTTAGGCAATCTGAAGATCAAGGCAGTGACAAGGTGAAGGAGAAGGAATATATTGGTACTGCAGCTAACTTAACTAAGGTACTTTCCAGTGGTAAAGTTTTGGGGAAGCCAATGATAAATCAGGCTAGGCAGGAGTGCACGAAAGCAAGGAGTAATAAGTATTAACGTGATAATAGAGGTAATATTATTGATACTACAGAGGAGAAGGAGATTGTCAATGGAAAGGGGAAGGACAAAGCTGAGGTAGTGTCAACAAAGAACAAGTTTGATGCACTGGAAGTTGAGGAAATTGATCAACCAACACTGAGGATTATTGATGGCAAGGGTGATAATAATTGCAAGGCACAACAGAAGAAGCAACAAGGAATTGAAGCTAAAAAGGTTCAAGAGAAGGAGCAGGTGATAAATAAGGAAAATTCCAACTCCATTCCTAAGGATGCTGGGAATACTTCAGCGGCTAAGGAAGGAGTTCCTAATCCTAGTAATACAAGGATTAGTATAGAGGAAATATTTGAAGTTGGGAATAGAAATCCTGGTGGAAATAGGAGCTCTAATCCTAATGTTACTAGGATTAAGGATGCAGCCACAAAGGAAAGGACAATAGACTGGGTTCAAAGGAGCTTTGGTGCACGCAAGGAAGCTTACTCTAAATCATTCTTTCCAGGAGATACCTTCTCAGACTTTTGTGTTCTGTGCCTATTCACTTGTTATAGGAATGTAAAACACGATCTGAGGAGAACCGAGAGACAACAGAAAATTAAGAGTGTGACATTATTACATGCGACATCATTAATATAGTTGCCTACCGAGCAATTCATCTCAAAAGCCAAAGGTACCAAAAAGGTTGGTAGATTTGTAGATTCTCGTCCAAAGAGGCTTGACATTGTGAATGCCAAAATATTCACAAGCATACTCTGAGCCAAATGAAGGATAACAAAACTGGAAGCTCAGAGATACTATGCTCTGTCCATCCTCAAACCTCAAAGAAGTTTATTTTTCCTTATTTGATATTTTAATATTCCTTTCAGTCCTCAAATTTGAAATCCTCAAACTAAAGGTTAAGTATCATATTTCATCAGTGATTCAAAAGCCAAAGTAAACGGGTAAAAAGGGAAAAGAGCAAACAAACACACAAAGTCACACATAAACAGTGGCACTACAGGGAAAGAGAACAGTCTGGCTAAACCAGAAGTGTCCTGCCTGTAATTTTTGAAGTTAGTTTTACGTCTAATGTTAAGTTAGCAACAAGCAGATACCAGAGTGGTCATGTAAAGTGCTTGTCTTCTATGGGTATTTTCTCGTGTTTGAAGTTGGTTTCAACTCCAGTACATATGTCATCCTGTGAATGTGGTATAAGCGGTGAGGTTTTAAAGCTTTATCCTGAGAATTGGACCAAATCCTATTATCAAGCGGCTCCAAATTAAGTGACAGAGTGAATGGGGATCAAGTCAATAACTTGCACTTGTATTCATTTTAGATTAGATCAAGCTCCGCATCTAATCGAATACTGTCATATGAAATGGGATGGAAAGAGTGTTAGACATTACAAAGTAGTAATCACTGTTCAGTCTGATCCTAACCTCATTTATAAGTTTGAAATACCTGGTCAAATACCACAGGTAATCAGACTGGTCTTTTGTCACATTCAGATGCTCCTGTATCCCTTTAGAAGTGATATACTTGTCACCCCACACACCAAGTGGCTCCTTCAATGTCAAGATTGTGAAATACTTCCGAGTTTGCTTTTAATCCTTAATTGTGGAAACAAGGAATTACTCCCAACTTAAACAAAATAAAGACCCACTGTGTTGATTGAAGTTTGTGCCCCCACCTATTTAAAGAATGCAAGAGAAAAGAAATTAAATACAACATTAAAATGAATCACAAAGTACTACATAGTTTTAGAAGCGTTCTTGTGATGACGTCACTATGTTGTACTTGAAAGAGTGCATCCTTGTTAGTTACTATATGATGACGAGATTACTAAAGCAAGAGTTTAGCTTTAGTAACCAATATAAATTTCTCTATCAAATAACTTGTGGTAGTAGGTGAACACTGTAGCTAATTCACAACACATCTCTAGGTTATATACCGACGGATCATAATTTACACATTGCTAGGTCATATACCGACAGATCATAATTTCTGATTAACTATTTTGCCAAAAGGGTGGTAAACATTTGCTTTTCAACCATTTTTTCAGAAGCTATAAGACACTACTTAGCCTGCAGTGGAAAATCAACAATCTTTGTTCTCGACCATCATCCACGCAGAAATGGAATGATTGCAGCCTCAGTTTGTGGAAACCACACATATGAAAGCATTATCAATACAGTATAACAGGCTAGGAAATAAAAGAAAATACTGAAACAAGTAGACATGCAAGCCAGTGTTGTCAAAGGCTCATTTAAGGCACGCTTCCCAGAAGCTCAGAAAAGCTCGAGGAGCGGGCTACACCTCGCTTTAGTTGCACTTCAGTGTGTAAGGCTGAGGCGTGCGCTTCATTGCCCTGAGTTCTCTGTTGAATCAAGCGGCACTAAACAACAACTATAATAAGAAATAAGTGTATTAGCTGCTAAAGGAAACATTATAAATAAACTTGTTGCTTTGTCTTGAAATACATACAAATTTTTATTTATTTCCTTCATTACGCCTTTTTTAACTAAAGCCCACACTTTCAAGTGCGCTTTGCGCTTAAAGCACAAATAGTCCTAGAACAATTTTTAGAGCTTTTTGCCTTTGGCAACACTGCTGTGTATTACTGCTTCCTACAGCTCCCGTTTGAACACTATTATTCAACATGCTCTTGGGATCTTAAATAATCAATTAGGACTGCGTGGCATGAATTTCAATATAAACAATCATATGAATTCAAATGAGTGTTAATCAATTTCATAATTTCATAAACATCAAACAGAGCTTCAATTCAACATTTAACTGAATCACATGAATAGCATGAGGTATTTATCAAAAGGAAAATACAGGCAAGTTGAAGTTTAAACAGGCCGAATCTAGAACATTAGGCATCAAATTAACACAAGTAAATATATGTTTCATCCATAGACTCAAATAGGAGAAAACATGTGAGGATTTACATACCTAAAAGCAACAACAGCAGAGTAACGACCAAATAAGGGTCTGAAGAAGAAGAATGAAGTCCAGCTTCCAAACAACAGAAAAATCAGCAACAAAAATAGAAAAAAACAATAGAGATTCCAGCAACAGCCTTGATTTTAAACCCAAAAGCAACTCGAAAACCCAGAACTTAACTAAAATAGTCTAGCAAAAATCGAAATTACTTTGAGAGATTTTTTATTTTTTTTGTTTTTGGTTTTGGTTTTCTGGAGCTTTTTGAATCTGAATTTGAAATTCCCCAAAATTAAGATGCTTTTCTCTCTATTCTAAAATGCGTGAGTGAGTGTATTTAAGAGCAATAGAGATGAGTCAGAATTGAGTGTGTGTATTCTTTGTGTCTATATGAAATGCGTGTGAATAGTACTGTTTTTACAAAATATATTCCCACATCTCTCTTTTTTGTTATTTTGCTTCTTTTTTAACCCTTTTAATTCTGTTATTTATTCCCTCAAGTCCCTCCTAGCCGACCCCCTTTTTACTCTTTTTGCTAGTGAGTCCCTTTTCTACTCTCTTCTAGAAACTCCTATTCAGGTATAAAAGACTCCCTCAGTTAATTCCCAAGTCAACCCTCAGGACCCTTGTTTTTACTTTTTACTGCCTAGTTAATTAAACAAACCTGGGTCAAAATTGACCCAAGGTTATCAAACAAAAACCCAAAAATCAGACCCTTACCCGAACACCACAAAATACAAATGACAGGCTGGCCCGCCTACGGAGACAAACGCAATTCAATGAATACCAACTTCAAACAGTAATAAACGTATAATGCAAACCAACAATTAAAATGATCATACAAACACAAGAACAATCGTTCCTAATTTCTAATTAATCTAACACATGCTAATCCTAATCTACTTGATTATTAATAAGAACAAACTCTATTAATTAAACTAATCAAATCTATTATAAAAGTTAACACAAAACATTGAACACTTATTTCCTAAACTGGAATGAGAAAGGGGGGGGGGGGGGGGGAAGGCATACCTACTAGGTTTCAACAGGTTGATAAAAGGATCTCCAGCAAGCCGGGAATGAGCTTAACTGGGACATTGAAGAGCCACTAGCTGGTCAACAGCGTTTTGACCGAGCTCCGATGTTTATGCAATGAGTTAAAACTACCATCACTCGATTGCTCTTGTCAAGAGCAATTGATGGATATCGATTTCAAACTCACAGAACAAGATTTGAAAGAAAATCGAGAAAAAGACTAATTTAGGTTTTCGGTCAAAAACCTAGATCTGCTATTCAATGCTTTTGAGGGGTTTTCTGGTGAAATCAACGGTACATTGGGACTGGGGAGAGTCTTGGGATTGTGGGGTGAAGATTTTGGTGGATTTTGGGTTGTGCCACCGCCATGGGCAATTTTCGGTATCGGGGGATGGCAGATACACAGTAAGGAGAGATGAGAGGTGTCTAGGCTTGTAAGACACCGTTTTTTTGGGGAGGGGGGAGGGGTAGGGAGCCGAATTAGTTTTAAGGGTGTAGGATAGTGAGTTCATGGTTGTTGGATCAATAAGGATGAAGGGACACGATTGATTGTTGACCATTTGATTTGGGGACGGGGTCGTTTGCAAGCAAAACAGTGCCGCTTTGACTAGTAAGAGGGGCTCTGCTGGATCAAATATGGACCAAGGGACATGGAGTTTGGGCTGGTGTTGGGGATTTAGGTCGTTGCTGTCACGATCAAAAACCTACCAGTCGTGATGGCACCTAACTCGATCCGCTAGGTAAGCCAATTAACAGAAAATACAATCCTAATGAGATTATAGGAAAATAGTAAAGAATTATTTGAACATTTGCAAATTGACCTAAGAATTGGTAGTACGAACCATGAGCTTCTAAGACTTGGAATTTACAAAGCTAGTACAAATTATTACATGATATGCTTGCAATTTACATAATAGATTAGCAAAAACCTAAGCTACCAAGGACAAGTGGCAGCTATATCTGGAACACACGAACATCTTCAGAGTTAGCACCGGCATCACCAGCAGCTCTACTCCAAGAATCTGCACGCAATGTGCAGACGTGTAGTATCAATACAACCGACCCCATATACTGGTAAGTATCTTGTCTAACCTCGTCGAAGTAGTGATGACGCCTTTTAGTTTAAAGATACTCACTGATGAAACCTCCACCGAAAATCAGCAATAGAACTATACCACGATATAAGAGAGACGAATACATGAAAGGAATACGTAAAACAATAATAGAATACTAGCAATGATCACAATTAGCATCTTACAATACCTTGACCAATCCTTTCCTAAGAATGAAACCGATAAACGACGACCGTCACTTCATAACTTTCATAGCATGAGGAATGTACTTAGATATCAAGTCAATTACACGACAACACCCTTCGTGCTTTTATCTCGTCCTCACCCAATATACGTATAACAAAACCAACCAGATGACAGAAATACCAATAATAGGAATTACAAAGTAGGAAATACGCAAGTAGAAGTAATGAACGAGGATATACATGTGCGCAACAGTAAAAGACTAGGCAGAAAGCATGTGAGTAATTGCAGCCATTGGAAAACAAGCAATATCAACTTCAGGTAACTAGCATGATGGAGGCCTAAGTAGAGATGTAACAAATAAGAAGGAAACACATGATCTTTACAAGTTAACAAGTAAAGGCATAAATGTCTAACATAGAAAAAGGGCTTATACAAAAAAGCAACAGGATATACACGACATGGAGGTAATTATAATAGCAGGAAACAGGCATGTGTTTGCAAATTAAACAAGTAGGAGATAGGGACAACACAACAACGGTTGAAATAGAGAACAAGGACAGGAAAATAACAACAAGCCACACTAGGTCTATAAATACGACAATAACCGCTCAAGATAAAGACGTGAACATATACATGGAAAGCAGATATCACACATAATGCATGTCCCTCATCCTCGCCTCCACGGAAACACCCATCGTGCCATAATCTCATGATAATATAAAAGCATAACAATATAAATGAAATGACACGGCATCACCCTTCGTGCTTTTACTCTCAAGTGATGTGGCACGGCATCACCCTTCGTGCTTTTAAGCTCAATAATATGGCACGACATCACCCTTTGTGCATTTACTCTCAAATAATATGACACGCCATCAACCTTCATGATTTACACTCTCCCTCACATGATAATGTACAAACAATGGCACGGCATCACCATTCGTGCTTTACACTCTTCCTTACCAAACATATGTATATCAATGATAGACAAGGTAGGAAGCATAAATAACATCAAGGAGAGTGTTTAAACGGATATTTCAAACGAACCCCAATCACAACTTCCCAATACCAACAATAGTTCAATAACCCTCAATGATCATATTATTCAAATGTTTCAACAAATCTCACAAATGATTTACAGCACGAGTATAGAATCTAGTATCTCAAGAATATTGGCCGTAGTAATGTATTAATGATTACGCATAGAGATCACCGAATTAGACACATCAATGTATTCTCAGAATTTTCGTCAAACTTGATCAACTTATAATAAGCTAAGTCTTGATTTCTAACATTTAATATTGTGTTATTAGTGTCTAAGATTCAAGTAAGGCATGAAGCAGGAAGGTCACGTAATTCTACAAACAGAAATATAACATAATTTACCCCCTCTCCCCGAGCATGATCAACCCTGACACATAAATATACGCTCGTCACCTCATATATGTATCACCCTCGCATGTAGCAAACAATGTCAAATAGGAGGAAAAATTCCTTCGGAAAAGTTAGGCAAGACACTTACCTCAGTTCGGCTAACTCAATACTCAAATTTAGCTTTTTCTTCTACTAAGTCACCTCCACTCAGCTCAATCTAGCCAAAGACCACTTGAATACATCCCACAATGCAAGAGAAAATAATTTTAATTAATAAAGATGTGAGTTTTATTAAATTTCTAAAAAGTCAACAAAAGTCAATCCCCAGGCTCGCCTGGTCAAAACCCGGGTCCAAAGGTAGGTCTTGACTACACATAGCCTCACGAGTCCAAATATATGTTTTGTTTTCAAATTCGAGTCCTATTCGACTCTCAAATTCCAAATTTTTATTTTTCAAAAACTTGACAAACTCCCCAAACTTTCCCCCTAGATTTCTCATGAATTTGATATTAAATCTTATATAAAATGATGAAATATAGTTCAGAATTGATTAGAGGTACTTACCCAATAATTTGGTATGAAAATCCCTTAATAAAATCGCCTTTCATCGAAGCTAGGGTTCAAAATATATCAAATCAAGCTAAGTCTCAAAATTCTCAGCATTTAACAGGTTGCAGATGTCGCATTTGCGACATGGGGTTCGCAAATGCGAACATCTTATCGCAAATGTAAACCAGAAGTTTTCCTGTCAAGGTCGCATTTGCGAACCAATACTTTGCAAATGCGAAGATCAACATTTCGCAAATGCAGCAGGGTTCTTCGAAATGCAAATTTTCCCTAGAAGCCCAGACTTCGCAAATGCGATGGCTGCTTCGCAATTGCGGCTATCGCATTTATGACAAAAACATCGCAAATGCGATGATACAAATACTAACACTTAAATATTATGAAAAATCATTCCGGAACTAATCCGAAACTCACCCGAGCCCTTGGGGCTCCGAGCCAATCATGCACCTGTCGATGCCCCCTTTTTCTTAAAGGCGAAATCGGGTTTATGACATTTTGGAGGACAACTCATTCCCTTTTGGGAATTGCGTTTTGGAGTTTGAAGAGTCGCCACCTAATAATTAAGTGCATTAGGACACTAAGAAGGGTTTGAGTTTGAAGAACCAGAGTTTGGGTAAGGGCTAGAAATTATCTCGAGGGGAAGGTGTTAGGCACCCCTCAAGATCCACTAGTGTGGTTCCCGGCCATGTTATAATTGTGACTTTAAGTACAAGTAACAAATAAGCAAATAAGGGCTTCAGATATGAGGGATTGTCATATTAAAGTTTGCAGATAAGTTAAAGTTTGAAGAAAACAGAAAGGGACTCGAATTTTGAGAAAAAATAGCTTGAAAATTCTGAAAAGTGATAAATAAACAAATAAAGGGAAGGAGGTCCTAGGTTTACAAATAATATGGATCACATCAATGCAATACCCGGTAATCACTCCTCAAAGAGGGGCTACACGTGGTATTAGCGCACCGGTCATCATATCCATATCTACCCTTTCCCACCCCGTTAAGGTATTAAACGCGGAATGGTTTCGTTACTTATTGCATGCTAGTACCCGCCCCGATCCTATCAGCCCCAAAGGCATTTGGGACTACTAGTCCTAAAGGGAAGGGAGATGTGGGTTTTGTATGGTTTAAAAGGATAAAATTCTAGAGCGACAAACAAAAACACATAAGGCAGATTATGGGGAAGCACATAGCAGTTAAGGCTCAAGTAGGCCTCCTCATTCAAAGCAAAAAATTATTTAGCATGGCTTACAAATACTGGTTAGGTCTTTAATTAAACTTAACGTAGGAAGGGTGGCTGATATATCACATATTTTCAGATAAGAAGTCCGAATTAGACCTGCCTGCTGGTTGTAATTATTAAAGGCTGGTATAGTTGATTAATTACCTACAGGTTTGCCTAAATGAGGCATGAATCATGATATCTAAACATTGCAGAAGGCCTACTGATTTTACAGAAGGATTGATGATTTTAGAAACAAACAAATTCTGCAAATATTAAACGACATTTACTACTGATTTTAGACTTGTAGATGAACCAGATTTAAACGATTACCCATATAGGCATGGCTTCTAAGCGTTATTGATTTTAAAACAGTTGCGTAGTGCAGGAGTCCTATGAGCATGGTGTCTAGGACGCAATTGATTATTTTAGCCTATATACTGTTTGCCTAATGTGCATATGCAGAAGCGCAGAAACTTATAGACATGATTTCTAATGCAGATGACTAACTTATAGGCAGAATTTCTATATGCAGTAATAAATAACTTATAGGCAGGATTTCTATATGCAGATAAACTTACAGATATGATTTCTAAATGCGGATGAGTAACTTATAGGCAGGGTTTCTAAATGCATAATGAAATGACCTATAGGCAGGATATCTATATGCAGATACATATACGAAGGTGTTGTGATTGCAGAAGTAAAATCTAAAGCATGATATCTACACCACATGCATAACATGAGAGACCCTCCCCGTTTTTGACTATACACCCCATAGTTATTACAAATTATTACAACTTGAATAAATCCAGAAAAAAGTAAATTATATCAGCAACTAAAATTCCAACAAAGGAGAGCCTAATACAGACTCCTAGTCTGATACGTGAAATAAACCAACTTCCAAAGATCAGATTTCCAAAGCCTTTCTCTTATTTGGGATGTGCCAAAGTTCCAAGGAGCTTCATGAACTCCAGGCAGCGCTTACACCCCAAATATCATTGCAGAATTAGATTATGGTGCAGTGTGGAAGGGCCAGCCCTCAAATATCCAAG